TTAACGTTAACGTTAACGTTAACGTTAACGTTACGTTACGTACGTACGTACGTACGTACGTAGACGTAGAGAGAGAGAGAGAGAGAGAGAGAGAGAGAGAGAGAGAGAGGTAGATAAGCGTAAAAACGAGTTGAAGCGGAGCAAGAAATGAAAAACTTAGAAGTCTGTCCGTAATAATCTACATGATGATTGGTAAAAAGTGGTCATGAGAGTCAGCACCATCAAATATATTGGATGATGGTGCTGGAGTGGCGTTGTACCTACCCATAGTGTCGTGTTATGGTACTTCTATAAAAGTCAAATTAATGATTATGGGGATGTTGTCTTGATAGAACTTCTGATGGCATATCAAATTATTTATTTTGTTTGTGGTTGTGACATTTGGAGACATTTGTGGCATATTCACTTAAGTGAAGATAATTTTTGTGCTCCTGCCAGAGAAAAATATCAATCTGCTCCCTCGAGCAAAACCCCTAGCAAGGAGTAAAAATTTTGGGGTTATAACTTGCTCAACCTAACAACCAACACAAGCGAGAAAGTTTCAAAAAGCAGACCATCCAAGCTGGCCAACTTGCCTAATGTAGGAGGCTCTGGCTCCACTCCTTTTGAAAAGTCAAGGTTCGGCAAAAAATGACATTTTGGTATGCCCTGGATTACCTAGCCCTGGAGTTCAGATTGCAAGGTTCTAAGGGTTTTGATTCAAGTGACTTCTCTAGCCTAAAAGGCACATATACGCAGGGTTTTGGAGAAGTTATAGTGAGATACCATTTTCCGTTGGAGAGGTGAATTGAACATGACACAGAAAATTGAATTGTAACCCTGATCTAGATTGGCCTGATGCTTACTTGTGGAGTTGCATGCGGCTTTGCTTGTCTGTTAGATGTGGATAATTGCATAAATTAGTTATTATGCATGAGTTCAGGTTCGAACCTCATATATGTAGATCATGTTACAATCAATCCCTTCAGGTCCCTTCAGGAAATCTATGTCAAAAAATACTGAATAGAAAGTCTTTTGGCAATTACAAGAAGAAGCAATAAAGTATGTTGATTACATGTGCTCCCTAATATATGTATCCCTCCTCGGGCATCACCGTAGACAGAAAGGTGCTTCCACAATTCATTTGTTTACATACATAATCACAAAATATTGTTCTGATCGTAGTACCAGGAAATGGATTTACAGGGGCCCATTTCACTCTCACATTTCTGAGTTTCTTGAAATCAAATTCCCACAAAAATGCCTCCGTGGCAATAGTGTCTACAGGCATTACAGAATTTGTAGATGTTGATGATCACAGGGCAAGTTTGTGCATGTATAAATATATACAGCGCTTTCAAAATTACTAACCGTTCTGTAGCCCATATTATTGGAGCTGATTCTTGTACACTGGGGCTAACATGGCTGGGTCGTGCACATAATAAATACTTGTAGCTCTTTTCTCACTGTGAGTTCTTATTTGTACAACAGGAACAGAGCAAGAAAATAGTGGAACATGGCAGGAGAGGCTTCACAAGTGGAAAGAAATTCTGAAAGCTGATGAGCTGGTTGAAGAACTTGATTCATCAAATGCGAGATATGTTGTTGATTTTGATATGCAAGAAGTTCGTAAGAGTCTCCAACAAGAAGTGGCCAATAGAGTATCGGACACAGCAGGCACTAGGGGTTTATGGATTTCTAAAAGATGGTGGCGTTATCGTCCAAAATTTCCATACATGTATTTCCTTCAAAAACTGGATTCCTCTGAGGTGAAATCCTTACCCTTTTGTCTTGCATTATTTTGTACTTTGTTTCAGTTTTCAGGGGCTCGTGCTGCTGAGATTCTGCTGTCAGTTTCTTAGTATTTGTTTGGCAAATATATAGGGATAGTTCCTGGAAAACGTCATGGATAATGCAGGTGGTCCAGAAACTCGATATCAAAATCGGACTCGATATCAAAATCAGACTTGGACCGTTTAACAATTACTCAAACAAACCAGACTTGTATCTAATTATTATTTTTAGTCATTAGTTTATCCCAAGTAATTTTACCTATGCCCCTTACTTTTCCATGATTCTAGACATTCAAATTGGGGGTAAATAGTCTTCAAAAGATATTGACAAGTCCAGGTACTATCTTGATATTTCTAGTTCCTGGGTGTGTGCTCTGCAGGTGTTCTAAATACTGTCCTGATATGTTCCCTACCTATTTTTGGTTTAAGATTAGAATGGAACAAATGTTTTTTTTCGTTACTTTAATTGATACGTATTGGGTGGTTTTTTTTAGTTTTTAGGCAATGAATATGCCTTTTCCCAGTATTTTGTAGCAAAATGTATGCATGCACTGATTAACGTGGAACTGCATCAAAATGCAGCAATTCTGAATGTTCTGGTGATTACTTGAACAGGTTGCAGCTGTTGTCTTTTCAGAGGACCTTAAAAAGATCTACGTGACAATGAAGGAGGGATTTCCATTAGAGTATGTTGTAAGTTTGATTGTCATTTTATTCTTCTGAATCTGCTTGCAAAAGAGCCATCTGATATCCTTGTCTAGTGAAATGGTTGGCCTGAGCAATAGATATTTGATGCTGTTTCCTTTTGTAGGTTGATATTCCTCTTGATCCATACTTGTTTGAGTTCATCATATCTTCTGGGGCTGAGGTGGATATGGTTCAGAGAACTCAACTTCACTACCTTCTTCGAGTGGTGATTGCATTAGCTCCAGGGTTGCTACTTTTATGGCTAATAAGAGAATCCATGATGCTTTTGCATATCACATCTCAACGATTTCTGCATAAGAAATATCTGCAACTATTTGATATGGCATATGCGGAAAATTTCATCATGGTAACTGCAGGTTCAATATTTAAATTTGATTTTTTCCCATATTTTGCTGTTGTGAAAATATGGTTATTCCTCCATAGATTGTGAACCCATTTGAATTCCAGGATAATGGCAGCCAAATTGTAATTTCTACCAAATTAAAATTTAACCCTACAAGTGTGTTTGATTTTCAAATTGGTATTGGGAATCAATTGCAATTTGAACCCCCAACTGCAATTTGTGACAAAATCGTGTGGACTATTTTTTCCTCTGATGCTACTCCCTCCCTCCCTCTCTCTCTCTC